CATCCACAAACACACAGCCTACTGCATTACAAGGTGCTGGCCTTTTTTAAAGACACACATAGACATGGTGAAAAATGATCCACTGTGAATGGCTAAAACTGGTATCTTTTCTCTACAGAGAATTTACTAGTACTACTACAGTAGTAGTAGATCTACTACTGGTATCTGCTCCCTAGTAGAGAAGCAGGACTGAAAAAAATCCGTCAGTTGAGCCCAACTCTTGTCAGTTGCAAGCATCCTGTTTAAACAAAGCCAGTGAAAGGGAATTTATCATGTGCCTCAGTAATCAAACTATTTTTGCAATAGGAATTTTTTATAATATTCAAGCAATAACTGCTGCCTGTTTCTCACATCTGTTATTTTGTGTCCTGCACTCTGTATTGATAGACCAAGGGGGTCTTCACTATATTCTGTGTGACATCATTTCAATATTTGAAGAATGCTATTGTATTTCCCACCAGTTTGCTCAAGGCTAAACATGCCCTGATCCTTCAGTCTTCTTCATTGTTTGTTCTTCTAGTTTGTCTAAAATCTTAAAGTGTGATACCCAAAGTTGGGCACATACCTGAGGTGGGGTCTGATCAGTGCAGAATAAAGTAGGACAATTAGTCCCATGATTTAGAAATAACTCAGCACATAATAATGACAATATTTGCATATAGGCATTTTCCTTCTCCAACTTCTCATGTGGGTTTTATGAGAAGGGCAAAGTAGAATCAAGTAAAATTGATCTGGTGTGGGCTAAGTGAGAGAGTATATTCTTGCAAGACTGTGGACTCTGTAATTTTTGAAGTTCTGCAGGCTATCCCTGACTGCAGATGAAGCAAATTTAGGTATATTTACATTGTTCCTCTTCTCAGGGGAGACCCATGGAATAATACAGAGCATTATAACCCCAATCCTTTCTCTGACTTTGAATGTTTTAATCTGCTCTACAGAACCATTCCTATGTATTTGATTGATTGATTGATTTATATGACAGCCCATCTCAAATACATGATTCTCGGTGGCTGTACTTAACAGTCATCTACAAAAATATGTCTGTAATGATTCTTAGAATTTTACTAAGTAGTCTGATGAAAACAGCTACACTGGTAGGAGAACATAATTAGAAATCTTTTTTAAAATACAATGACAGATTGCTGGAGTGTGCTTTCTACAAACACAAGCAGTACATTTTTTAAAGTGTCTATCATAGGTGCCACACATTCAAAGAAAATGCCACCAAAATTTGCTTGGGTGTTTGATTGTTATAGAAAATAGAATAATGCCAAGCAGAACTGAAATAAACTCAGAGATTCACATTTTAAAATCTTTTTTTTTCTTTCTCTTGAGATGCAGAGTTCCTCTGCTTGTCAGTCTAAGTTTTACTCAGACTACCTTTTGGCTTTTTAAAATTTAACATAATCGCTTACATGCTCTCAAGGTATAATGCATTTGGGATGGATTTGCTTGATTCACCACTTGAGGGCACCTTGCCTACACAAGTTACCTCCATTAGAGTAAGCTCCAGGTATGCATTGTACTAAAATATGGTATAGATTAATCTATTTCTGGAATTGGACCCAACTTCATAATGAATTTTGGAAGAGATTAAGAATTGTATGATGAATAAAATACTGGTTGGTTACTTAGCAGTGCCAACCAAAGACCTGGTGGTTTTGTCATATGTTGCTAAATCCAAAGCAGCACTGTTCTGGTACATAGTCCAAGGAAGCTGGAAGTTATTGCTTCACCCACTGGCCCTTCTTCAGAAGCCCAAATCTTGCTTGTAGTGTTGCATGCTTGGAACCCTGTTCAATTAAGTGCCCCAATACGCAGTATCAGAAGGACTGTGACTATTTCTTATTTTGTTCTTACATCGCTGTGTCTCTTTCCTGAGTTTGTTGTTGTTTTACCTCATATGATTTTCTGCTCTCTTTATCAAGAAAGTGTTTTCAGCATTCTGCAAGTGATCTCTGCCATCCAAAAGACTACTTAGAATATTTGTAATCATTCTACGTCATCTCTACTGTGCTACTGAGAAGAAAGGTTGGCTCACGGATGACAGTTAACTTTTTAGAAGATAAAGCCATGTTTAAATTCTTTGGCAGCAAGCGTAACTTTCACTGTGTCCTCACCACTATATGATCAACATGACAGAGCTGTGTCCAGCCTTGGGCAATGGATTCTGTGTACTGGGTTAATGTTTTCATTGCAAGGTTCACCACTCCTCTAGAGTCTGTTTCTGGTTTATCTCCCCAACTCAGATCCTTTCAGCATATATAACTCTTTACCTTTACACTTCTTTATACTGAATTGCATTTGCTGTTTTAATACCATTTTCCCAGCTTGAAGGATTTTTTTGCAGCTCTTTACCATCCTCTCTTATTTTAATAAATCTAATTTTTGGTTAATAAAGTTGATGACTTAATTCCTCATCTACAACTACAGACTATTTGTGAGGTTAATAGCACCAGCCCCAATAAAGATCTTTAGGAGATAATACTGTTTACACCCATTCTTTGTAAGGATCAAATCATTTATTCATACTCTGTTTTCTGTAATCAATCCATAAGAGAATCTTTCCTTTTATCCCACAACTCTTAATTTTGCTCAGGAGTTTTCAGTGAAGAATCTTGTCAAAGCTTTTGAAAGCCCAGGTAAACAGTTACAAGGTCACCTCTAGCTTCATGCTTGCTGAGACCTTGAAAGAACTCTTGGTGGGAAGCCTTTCTACAGAAGCAGTGTCAAATCCCCATCAGCAAGATTGGTCCTAGGTGTTTAATGCTTTAATGTTAGTAATATTTTCCACCAATTTAACTGGGATAAATATTAAGTTAGCTAGCATATATGCCACTGAAAGCAATTACTTGGGATCTCAGGATGAAAGGAAATGGAGACTGGTGCAGTGTCATATTGGACAATTCCTCCCATACACCAGTTCTGACCATCAGAAGTTGATAAAAAAATGGTTCCTGCACAGAAAATTTATAATCAGGTACATCACCAGATATATTTATTCTCATATGTAAAGGAATCAAGGGCTCTCCAGATTAAACACCAGATCTTCCGTTTTCTTGAACACAAATATTCAACAGTTCAATGTAACTTATTGGTTTCAGCTGTTCAACAGGCCAATACAGCTGAGGTTTCTACGGCAGCAAGGGAATACAAAAGTATGGGACGGCTGGAGTCACAAAAATAATCACACTAAAATGCTAGTAAACAAAAACCCACCTTCAGAGTTTTGTAAAGCTCAATTTAAATGTGTTTTAACACCTTTTCTAAGAACAGCTGAAAGAGAAGAGAATAAATACGGTTCTTGAAGGGAGTGCATTCCATTGGAATGACATGGGGCAAAATATTTGCTGTGCCCTATACAGGTCATCCTCATTTAGCAACCACAATTAGGACCCACAAGTCAGTCATTAAGTGAAGTGGTTGCTAGATGAAACTCTGCTTACAATCTTACTTCAGCTTTGTTTTACAGACCCGTGAAGGTCATAAATGCGAGAATTGGTTGCAAAGTTATTCATTACCATCATAACTGCAATTGGTTGTTAAATGAGGCAGTCACTAAATGAGGCCTATTGTATGTATTTTGCAAGTAGTGGTACCTTCAGAAATAGTTTTGGATGCAGATCTTAATAACAAGAGTCACAGTGAGACAGATTATCCTTTAGATGGCCCTCACCTAAGCTGTGCTTAAAATCAACACCTTAAACTGAACCCAGAAAACAACTGGCAATCAATGGAGGACTTTTCATTACTGGTATAAAGATCTCTGAACTTACACTGATAAGCTGCTTAGCTACATTTTGTGCACATTCAACTCAGGATAGCTATAGTACTACTTAATAGGAGGCAGGATCATTTTGTACACTGCCTTGAGTGGTACAAAATAAAGTCAGGATATAAATCAGGATAGATGATAGATAGATAGATAGATAGATAGATAGATAGATAGATAGATAGATAGATAGATAATCTATTTATAGATATCTTTAATATTATGTCATCAAGCCCTGGATAACT